AATACTCAGTGTCCTCACTTAAATTATTTTGTTAAAGAATAAGATAACTTTTCCCATATACACAGAATAGGCGAAAATGTGACTTCAGATTTGCTATAATACTATACTATACTATACATAAAAATCTAGTTTCCAAGAGAAAATATGAGAGATGCTCCCTCAGTATTGAGCAGCCTGGAAGTCCATATGGTACTGAATAAGGCATGAACAGGGTTTTACTAGAGTGTACAGAACCTGGCACTGGTGGACAGGATCCAGATATCAAAGAGACAAGATTAAGAGTGTGGGAGCTCCCAAGGAAGAATGAAGTTGTTTTGGCAATCATCCAAATTCAACTGAGAACATAAGTTGGCAACAAAACAGTGTTGAAGGCCCAAGCTGAAACCTAGCAGGGAAAAAGCAGAGCCCTGATGTGGAGCTTCAGGTGTATTCTCTATGAGGAAGTTTTGAAGTGCTGAGTATCTTTGAATGATAATTTTATGGATGGTCTTAGAGGGCCGGGTTCCTCATTTGAGTTACATGAATTCCAGTTTCTAGTCTCTTCTAGTCAAACTTTAGGATGCTTTCCCTTGGATGCTGCTCATCCACATATGTAGAGATTGCGTCTGTCTTGAGATTGCTGTCCAAGGTGTTTAGGAACCAGGACATTTCACCAGCCTCCAAAATATTGGTGTGTGTGTTTTAGGGTAGGATGAGTGTAATACTGGACAAGCCTGGGTGAGGTGCCATGTCAAAAGTTTTAAATTTTCTGTTTAAGGACTACTAGTATCAAGACTCAATTTCTAGTGTGCAATTTCTATTTACTTAATAAGAATTGTATGGTGCATACAGGGCTGTGGAGTCAGTACATAAAACCTGACCCCAACTCCTTGATTTACAGTACCTTGAACTCCGACTCCTTTATTTATATATCAGTATAGGAAATAAATATACTAATTCTTTATTTCCTATATTTATTGAAAGCACTCAACCTACACAGCACTGCAAGTGTCTTGGAATTTGACGCTCTAGTAGGTGCATTTTTATCAGAAGCACAAAAACTACTAATTTTTACAACACATGTTTTCACAATCATCATCTTTTGTAATACATTGACACACACATTTCCCATCTGTTGTTATTATAAAGTGTTCAGAAACAGCAAACTTCATTGACACTTCTTTTGCCATTGTGATTTTTTCCATGGGATGCCATTTTCACTAATATATGAAAGTAAACATATCCTGAAAATATAACCTGAAAAAATAGATTAACTTAATTATCTGTGAAATAGGAAAATTTAACATTTATATTGCAACTTAAATTTATTAGGAGTAAAAATTGGCTCATTTTTACATACTCCGATTCCAGAAACCCAAGAATTGCTTTCAACTCCACAGCCCTGCATACTTTTGTTACATTGCAGTAGTTATGGATTGTAAGAGACGACACTCTGGTATGCTTGGGGTTAGATAGATGTGGGCTACAATGAATCTGCCAAAAATTGTGCAGGTGCAATTCAAAGCAACTACTTTTGATCTGGATTAAAATATTTACTTTGTTTTGTTTTAGAAACTGATTGTAATAGAGGGAAAATGCAAAATGCCTTAACCATTGAAGGTAATTGCTTTTAATTTAATCCTTTGTTTCTCTTACCATTTTATAGAATCCTGAATTTTTTTATTAGCTGCTTTTTCGTAGTGCAGATGTTTCTTTTCAACATTGGTTTAACATTGGTGGGCACTTGTAAGTTTTGTTTATAATATGAAAATTGAATTTAAGTGGCTTGTAATAAATACTGAGATGTTCACAAATGTAAAAGATACATAAGCAATATAATAGGTTAAACAATCCAAAATTGAGTACTGATCCATAGAGATAGATTCTTAAATATTCAATTGAATTTCTTTCTGATGAATGTATATTTAAAAATACATCATGCAACTCTCATCTTACAGTCTCCTTTGTTGCTGTCCTCGGTTTACTTTGCAGTTGAAACTATTTTTTAAATTAGTAACTGCTATTGCATCTTATTTTTAAAATTAAAAATAAAGACCAACAAATGTCCCGCTTACTTGAATTCTGTTGGCTACTTACTTTTTCTTTCTGCTTTCAAATTTATGTGATTCTTAAGGAAATAAACCTAAAACACACATACTACTGGTAAACAAAAATGCCCTGTTGTCTTACTGTTGAGAATAATGCTGAAAGGAACAGCATAATCCTTGTCATTTTTTTTTTTCAAGAATTGAATTTATATGGCATAGTTAATTTTAACCATTCCTGTTACATGAAATGCTTGAAAGGACAGAGTATGAAATAATTTTAGTTGATACTAATGAAAATACTAAACAGATAAACATTGCTTAATGTTTGAACTGATGTTTGAGAAATAAAGGAAATTATCCATAATAAAATGACATGAATTTGTTACAAGCCTCTTCCTTACTTTTCACTACTACAGTTACTTTTATCTGGCATAATGACCAACATGACTGATTAGAAGGGCCTTGAGTATTTCTGCCTGTATTATTTTCCAGTGTGGATTAGTGCAGAAAACATACTTCCCATGATCATAGTATTGGGACTAGGTCCTGGGCTCAACTTTTTTCAGTATTTATATAGTTACCCCTTAACAGACTTTCTTTGGAGAGCTCACAAGAAAATATATCATTAAATACAGCATAGAACAGTAAAAACTATTTAGCTAATGTTTTATTATAACAATCAGAGATGTGCTACAAGTAGATATCCAGATGTTTTGGAATTTAGAAGTGCCAGCCAGCATGACCACTGGTTAGACAGTTGAGGTCCAAAACGTCTGGAATACTGCTTTCCACCCACCCCAAGAAAGATGGATATCTTTTATGGGTTGAGTTTCTATATAAATAGGGATCCAAATGTTTGGTTTTAAGTATACAGCAGGACCCTGTATCTGTGGGGATAAGTTCCAAGCATCCCATGCCTGAAACCATGGTTAATAGTGAACATTATGTACTATACATATACATTTCTTTTTTCACAATTTCACACATATAAGATTAGATCCTAGCAATATCAACATATGATTTTTTTCTTTCTGCATAACATCAAAAATTTTTATTGAAAGGAAGCACTGTACAACTTCTCATTTGGACCGAGGTCAGTTAAGTGAAAACCTGGTAATTCAGCCAGCAGATACAGGAGTCCTGTTGTATTCCTAAGACTTTTGTCATACTCTATTTTGATTTCCTATCTAGCTATAGAGAATTTTCATTTAATAAGGCTCGTTATATGTTACATAAAGATGTATACTTGTAGGATATCTCACTACCTGTAAATTTAAATACAGGTATTTTCTGAAAAATATTTTCCATTGTTTACAGTGGCAAAGCAAATATTTTAAGTTGCAAAATGTTAACAAAAATGTTTAACACTGTTTTTCATTTTTTCCACCCACGTTTTCAGGGCTTGACCCTTCAGTGAGCCACAGTGCACAGGTTGGATGACTTAGGGGATTGAGAGGGGTGGCACATCACGCCCACCTGCACCATGTCCTGTCCTAGTAGGAACAACTGCTGCTACCAGACATCCACTAGCGAATGTGGAGTGCTTTTGACACTTCTGCGCCAGCATGGATTATTCCTTGCAGTTGCATCCTCATAACAACTATGTGGGATGGGTTGGGCTGAGAAATAGCAACTAACCCAATGTCACTCAATGAGCTTCATGGCTGAGTGATGACATAAGTGAATATCGGGCTTGCTATTATTTATTTAAAACTTTTATATGCCATCCCTTATGCATGGCATCTCAGGATGGCTCACAATCAGTAAAATCAAATACATTAAAAACAATCGAAACAATAAATAACATAGAAACAGAGTGACTCAGAAGGGGCCTCCTGGGCCATCTAGTTTGACCCCCGGCTCCAGCAGGCTCCACTCATGACATGTCCACCATATGCATGTCCAGCCTGTCTTTGAACACCCTCATCGATGGGGCCTCAACGACCTCTCATGGAAGCCCATTCCACACCCTCGGGGTCCTAACTGTCAGGAAGTGCTTCTGTTTTCATGTGCCACTCATAGCCAGAGTTGTACAGTGATTACAGTGTGGGACCAGGACTCAGGAGGTCTGGGTCTAGACCTCAGCCATGGAGCCCACTGGGCCAGTCACAGACTCTCAGCCCAACCTTCCTTCCAGGTTGCTGTTGTGACAATAAGATTGAGAGGAGGAGAAGGGGAATCATGTAGCCCACCTTGATTTTCTTGTAGGAGGAAAAAGGCAGGGTGTACATGTAATATAACAACCATCATAATAGTCTTTATGGCCATTGAAACGGTTCTAAGCTGTTTGCTTAAGTTGTACTTGCCTTTTACCCTTAGGCATTTCACTCTGTGATAACTTACAAAGTCTTGCAAAACTATTCCAGCCATAGCACCCTTTACTCCTCATCTCTCTTTTTATTGGTACATTTGATATTTCTGTTTGGATAATTTTATTTGAGTTTAAATTAGTTTCAATTAAAATTTCTTACTTTTTTTTCTTAGCTAGTTGGAACACTGATTTTAGTGTAAACCGAGAAAAACAAATATATACACAAACATTAGATTTTTATTCATCAAAGCATGTCCTGCAGGAATGCAGAAAACTACCCTAAACCAGGTCAGACCATTCATTGGTCCTTTTAGCACAACATTGTCTATAGGTGGAGTTAGATGCATTAGAACAGGGGTCCTCAAACTTTTTCAGTAGGAGGCCAGTTGAAAGGCGGCGGCTATACAGGTGGGCCAGTGAGGTGGGGGCGCCTGGGGGCGCAGGCCGGTGAGGTGCCGTTGGGCACGCGCGAGGTGGCATTGGGCACGCACAGTGGCTTGCTCGCTTGGAGTCCACCTCCGATAGAGCGAGCCACCACCTCCCCCTCTCCACCACCTCCCCCTCTCCCTGCGCTGCGAGGCAGTGGCAAGTGCACGCATACAGGAGGCAGGCAGCAGCGGCTCAGTCGCCTGGAGACCATTTCTGAGCGAGCGAGCGAGCGAGCCACCACCTCCCTGCCTGCGCAGCAAGCACGCAGGAGGCAAACGGCGGCATGGGCCAGATGGATGGCCATGGCGGGCCGGATCCGTCCCGCGGGCCATAGTTTGAGGACCCATGCATTAGAACAATCTGAATTTGACCCAACACTGCTGTGAGGGCTGACTAGTAAAGTGTGCCCCAAAAAGGCAATAGTGGAGAAGAGAAATAGCAAGGCTAGAGACTGGAAGGGAAAGGGGAAAACAGCAAGGCAGAGTATAGAGGAGAGAGAAGAATAAGGCTAGACGCGACAAAGGGAGAGAAGATTGCACTTCCATTTCTTAGGGTGTTTTTTTAAGGGTGCAGGGAGGCAGAACTTCATGAGTACCACTGAAGAACCCTCTGGGCACCACATTGAGAACACCTGTTTTACAACTGCAGCTCCTAGAAGCTGTAGCTAATGGTCAGAAACTATTGGAGTTGTATCCCAGAAACATCTGGAGGGTACCAGATTGCTTATACTTGGTCTCAGCTGATCAGAGTGGATCTCAAGAGTGGCAAAAAGGACTTTTGCCCAGGCTTACCTAGAGATACCAAGCATTTAACAGAGGGTGCTAATGAGCAGTGATGCATGAGAATTAATTATTCTATTAGGAATGTGAAGACATCTTTCAGGGGAGAAACCCCAAGTGATTACTGTTTCCTTCCAATATCTTCCTTGTCTTCATTACACAGAGCTCTGCATCCTTATCCAAAGCTTTAACTAGAATAAATGGGAAAATGAACACAGTGTAACTTACACTTTAACTGCAGTTATAAACATGGTGGTACTTCTTTCCCATTTAATATCAACCCCCAACCATGACTGTATCTTCTCATGACTGGCCTAGCAAACCAGCTGGCCAACTGGAGGCCAGCACTGAGAGCTTTTTCCCACCCACCTCACTGTCCACCTCCACAAATTGTCCTCATTTGCTTTGTGCTAGCAATATTTAGTCCTTTTCTGAATTAATAGGACATAGGATTACCTAGCTTGCTAAACTCTAAAGTTAAAATTGCCCCTGGGAATGGGCAATACCTAAGAAGCTTCAATGGACTGGTGGAAGTGAGTAAAGTACATACCAGTTATCTTTGAATTTCATGAGAATAACTGCCTGCTTTGAAGTGTCAGTCTTTTCTTCTGGAGATGGGATTGAGTTCACATCAGTGTTCAGAGGTGATGCTGCACCGTTCTGGCACAGTGTGGTCTCAAATTTCTGCATGGAAAGCCCATGCTATGCCATAGAGCTACAGCTATTCAGTGTAGAAGGGAAGTTGCTTGATACCAGTTTTGGCAGCAGCCATCAGTTTTAATTTTCTGTGCTTTCAGTGGTGCTAGAACGGTAGGGAAAGAGATGTGGCTAAATGGTAGTGAAATTGCTTTAAAATTAACATCTTGTAATTAGCAGTGGAAGATACCAAGCACTCTGGGATAGCATGACTTACGTTGCCATATAATTGCTAGTGATGATACAAATTAGGCAAGCAATCATACAAAATATTTAAATGATTTTAGTTTATGAATCGTGAATTAGCACTTTGAAAGACAGATCAGCTGGGTAGTCATTTTAGAAGTTTTAAAATGAATATAATCGGACCTCTTGCTACCCAGCCATCAAACCTGTGCACAATGGATTTGTGAGAATTTATAAATGAATGGACATATTTCTAAACTCAAGTATTAGTCATTCACTAAGTTGCCATTGTGAAGACTTTACAGAATTGCAACAATTGTTTGTACCTGTTGTTTTAAGTTAGTTAATGCTTTCACTCCCCCGGTGAAAAAACACCATCCCTCCCTAAATGTTCTTTAACACATTAATGACTAGATGATTTACAACAGATTTGTCCTTAGTATGTTGTTCATTGTGGAAATCAGAAGTCAAAAGTTAACACTGAAATGAATTTCTTATCAACAGAAACCATGTTAACATTACAGCTGGTCATGAGCTGGATGAGATACTTGACATAACATTCTTTGCCTCCTAAGACTTTTAAAACTCATACAACAGTTTATATATTATATAATCAGTTATTAGTCTTGTAGGAAAAGGATCAAAATCTCACCTTTTTCAATAGTTAACCAGCGTGGGAGGTGCCTTCTGTGTCTCTTATGCAGGGGTGGCTGCCACCATATTATCCACTCTGGATCTGACTGCATGGAATCCAGATCCACTGTATGTATTTATGAGGAAAGACCTTTTGTACACACTTCTGTTAAGCTCTTCTTAAGAGTCTGCAGCGTGGACAATGGCTAGGCCTATGTATGAGGCAAATCCTGTGATTTAGCATAGCTTTTAGTCAACTGCAGAATTATAATTGGTCTTTTGTTACAGGGGCTCAGGTAAGAGTTTCTAGATAGTTCCCACCTTTCATAATGAATAAAATTCCTGCATGCTTCATTCCTTTTTTTTTTTTTTTTTTTTGCTCAAGATAGGAGGTTCTTAGCAGGGAATGAATTCCTTGAAGCAGTTTTTCCCAACCTTCATATTAGCAAAATGTTTGTAATTCATATAGTTGCTGTTATTCCAAATCTATATGATGTACCTGCAAATAAATAGCCCAATAATGGGATTAAAAGGCAATGGAAAACTAAGGTGAACAGACAGTGCATATATATTTACATTCAAAACTCAGAAGAGATTTCCACCTTTTTTTTTTTTGGCATACTTCTAAATGTTCTGGCTCATACCTGTGCTTGATTTTATTACCCCCCCCCCCTCTCTCTCTCTCTCTTTGCAAGAACGAAAACTTATATGATCATTTGGCATGGATGGCTCCCACAATTCCACTAATCTCATAAACAGCCTTTTCTGTTCTGTGAAT